GGCTGGGGGTGGGGCAAAGGACGTGGGGGTGGGGCGTGCCGCTGGCGATGCTGGGGAATGCCTCACCCGGAACAAGAGGAACCGCACGTCACTGGTATATAGAGGGGAGGAGTGTTGGGGGTATGACGTGGGGCAGTATATACAGGAGAGGAGTGTTCAGGGTATGACAGCAGGCAGTAGGTACAGGGAATAAGTGTGCAGGGTATGACAGTGGGCAGTAGGTACAAGAGAGAAGTATTTTTTTCTGACAGTTAAGCTGGCCATACACTGTTATATTTTTTGTGTTTAGTCTGCGAGCTGAACGAAAAAATGGATTCCTCCGTCTACGCTTACAGTGTTTTTTATGTGAATAGCTGATTGTCTGCAAAAAAAATGGACAGCTCTACTCTTCTTTTGGAGACATCATAGGTCTATTAGACTTCTGATATCTCTCTAACATGTGACTATCTGATACAAATTAGGAAAAAAGAGACCCTGACCTGTATCTGTGCTGAATACATGAGCATTGCAGCTTTTTCTGTTCACATGGGAGATCAGTGAATTACAGTTTACTGATTCCCTCCTGCTCTGCATTGTGATTGACCATCACTATAGCATGGCTGTGAAAATGATAGCTCAGCCCTGCACATAGCTCTGTAATGTACAGGTCTGACCGTTTGAGCTGTTTCTTTGACAGCCATCCTCCAGAGGCAGAAGACACATTCATAGCGGCTTGAGAAGTGGACAGAGAAGTGGTTTCTGGGGTGCACAGAACACTTCACTATAGAGCTGCTAAAGCCAGCCTTACAGATGCCAGGCAGTTCAGCAGTGAGCTACCATAGTAACACTTGTAGTAACAGGAGGCATGAAGCTCCATTATTCAGCTTCTCCACCGCTACTTATGCTGGGTCTAGTTTCCACATCCACAGTAGGGTTGCCACCTGTCTGGGATTCACCCGGAAACCACAGTCCGGGTTTTGAATGTTGTGTCTTTCATGGCAGCTGAAACCCGGACAGAAGATGTCAGGCGGACGGGGCAACCAAAATTAAGATGGGGCTACTGGCCCCCCACTGAAAATAGTCTCAACTGTGATATTTACATATGAATTGGTGATGCTACTTACAAATAAATATGCCACGACTCATTCTCCCAAAAAAGATTCCGTGCATCGCTAGAGTGTTCAGGTTTCAATGGAAGAAAAGGTGGCAACCCTAATCCGCA